CACAACCCTTCTGTCAGCAGGCTGATGCTCTAACCAGTGAGCAAGCCAGCCAGGGCTGAAAAACTTTTTTGAAAAAAACAAATATAGTCACTCAGTACCTAATCAGCAACAATCTTGAGATGGGACTAGAAATCAGATGCCAAAACCTATCCCGCTCTGACTAACCCAAGGATACAGAGTGTAGGGGAGGGGCTGCCTGAGCACTTAGCACCATTTTTTTTCTCACTAGCTTAAATTCCGTCATTGTTTTAGTGGCTTTGTAGTTAATTTTTTTTCTAATAAGACTAGGCTAACTAAAATCATCTGACATGGAAAAGGAGGAGGTAAGGTTAAAAAGGAACTTAATTAGCAAGGTAATTATAGCAGGCAAAAAAGTGCCCTGGTTATATAAATATGCTATTGTTATGCGCATGCAAGTTGGGCCTTGTCAAGGGACTTGTTAAGGTTTAGAGGTCAGAGGATCATGTAATTAGGTGTTTAGGAAAAAAATAAAATAAAAGCAAAACAGCCACCAGAATTAGGAATGGCTGATGAGCCACTAACAAATGCGTTGTTACATTGGGTTCAATTGCTAGAGGGGTTGTTAGAGCAGCTTCAGGGATTCCAGGGAAGGGTAGCACCCCACCTCCCAACCGAGGGGAAAAAAAAAAGCTAGCTGGAATCAGAGCCAACAGAATTGCTGATGCGGAAAGTTTAAAGGCCTAGCCACAAGGGTCCCTAGACCGGAGAGGTGGCAGTAGGGCTGGTAATGTCACTATGCTGAGCAACAAGAAGAAATACATTGTCAATGGCAACTCTGGGATTAAAGCCCAGGTGAGGCTAAACTCTTATTTTCCAGTCTTGCTGCTGTGATGGCCATTAATGTGAAAGGCCAGCTGCTTTTTCCCTCCTTTCCTGCTTTCATCCCTCCTTCTGGCAAAAGGTGAGCTGCCCCTCTCCTAACAGTCTCTTTCCCTGCCTTATCTTGATGCTTGTTGGAATTAGGCAGTTCTCTCTGAAAAAAAGGTGGATTACCTTTTGATTTGGAAAAAACTCTTTGGATTGACTCTTTGATTTCAGACACATAGGAAAATTAGGGGTAGGATCTACCAAAATACCCCAGCCGGGGATGGATAGACTACTGTGTTACAAGATGTTGAGTGTTACAAGGTGAGCTGTTGAGTAGGAAAGTATAGAATATTTAACTGTTAGGGCAGGTGGGCAACAGGGATGACCTACTTACACATATGCTCTGGTTGTCAGTAAAAGATAAACATATTAATTTCTCCGGAAAATGGTATAACATTCTATGTAAGTGGTTAGTCTCTAATATTCTTCTGTCCAAAAGAAACTTGACTTCAGTATCTAACAAGTAAACAAAATTTAGTACTCTATGCCTCTGAGTGGAGAAAGCCCACATAGTCTTCTTAGTGCCAAAAGACAGCCTGAACTTGACCTGAGTGGAAGGAATAACTAAGTGGAGAAGACTAGAGAAGAGAGCTCAGCCTAGGGAAAATGGTTTGAGATGATGATGCAGCTATGGTTTAGTGTTATTGGGGTAAATGTATGTGTACCCACCCACCCCTGATCCTAGAGAAGTTGAGTGCTTGGCCCCCTCTAGTGGTGTGTGGGATGGGAGG